CGTAAAACATACACTTTGTTTGGGACCGTCCCTAGACTTCCCAGCTTTTTTTGCAAGGGAGGGGAGCAGCTGTGTGACTAAACACCTGGAATTTAGGGTTAGGAGCTTCATGACAAAGTCAGCCTTAAATCAGGTGCCCTCATCAACCAGTTCTGCCTTACCCCCTGTTTTGGGGGCTGTTAGAAGACCTTATCTCTGTGATAGACAGTTTTATTTCCTGTTGGTGAGGTATGAACTTGGCAGCAATGGAAAACTGAGCAGAGCCCCAAAGTTTCTGTACTTGGAAAACTTGTATTTAAAGTATTAATCAACAGAAGAAGACTCTGAGGCTAAATATTTACTGGATTACCATTTGTGTTATGATCACCTGGTTTTGTTGAGCAGATACTTAGGACTTGTCTACTCAGAGACATGGAGAAAAATTAGAAGTCAAATTCAGAGGTTAAGTTAATGCTTTTACACGTGTTAAACTCTTGTGCAGATGCACACTTTTAGAACCATAGTGGTCCGTAACTTAATCCTTTAATTTATGTGCATTTGCTACACAGCTTTAATTCCTCTGAATTTTCCCAAGTTGCTCCTAAAGACAAGGCTCATCAGACTTTGTCTTCACACAAAAGTTATGAGAGATGACGATGGTGTTTGAATGTAAAGAATAATGATTGCTCCCGAGTTATTTATTCATTATGAAGTAAAAGGGTATTGTTCCTTATTAGCTTACCTCACTTAGAGGTCTTCTGCACAAGTCACTATCATGTAAGTTAAAGTACACACTTAGTGTGTGTTAACAACTCTACATACACCACCCGAACAGGCCTAACAGGGTGGGGGAAAGAACAATTCACACTATACTGGACATCTAGCTTACATGCTCTAAGCTGCAACTAAATTAATACATAAAATAGCCAACAAGTGCATGGTACAAGAAACTACTAACACCAAAAGCAAAGATACTTGAAGGCTAATCTTGTCTTATCTCCAATTACTTAAAGGGTACACCCAGTTTAGAAACCTGGTGACCTCCGGCTCCTTTCAAAGACTAGGGAATGGAAGAGAAGGAAGACTCTCTTTGAGAACAGCTCAGATTTTACAGGGATAAATTTGCTCCCCCAGACACCTTTGTCATACGGATAGAGGGAAAGTCTAGGTTTACAGGCTCCTATTTAGCTACATAAAGTTAATGAGATTAATCCAGGCTCTACTGCCCATTGGGACTGTCCATATAGGAGGTGGGTATAGGAGATGTGAATTCAGATTACTCTACATTTCCTTCCTACATGGTCAAGCTCATAAGAAATGCTAATTCTTGTTCATAGCACGTCTACTAACCAGAAATCAGGCTCCCTTTTTTTCTGTAGGAATCACAGAATGGCTGAGGTAGGAAGGGACCTCTGGAGGGCATCTGGCCCAACCCCCTGGCTCAAGCAGGGCCACCCAGAGCTGGTTGCCAAGGCCCATTTCCAGACAGCTTTTGAATACCTCCATGGAGACTCCACAACCTCTCTGGGCAACCTGGGCCAGTGCTCAGTCACTCTCAGAGTGAAAAAGTCTTCCCTGATGTTCAGAACGAATCTCCTGTGTTTCAGTTTGTGCCCGTTGCCTCTTGCCCTGTCTCTGGGCACCACCAGAAAGAACCTGGCGCTAAAGAACTCATTGTGTAGACATTTATGTGGGAACTATACAGACAAATTCCAAAGCGTAAGCCAGGAGTAAGCTTTTGCAAGGTAAGCCCGGTTGTGAACACGTTTCTGATGTTGTATTGCAGCAACTGTCTATGCACATATACTTACCACATGGCAAATGTGAGGAAGTTTATTCCTCAGAGAGGGAAAAGTTCTCTCACACCCTCTGAGCTTTGGTTTAAACAGAACACATACAAATCCTTAAGGTACCATTCTTCTGACCTGGTACAGATAATAATGTCTGAACTAGTCATCCAGACATCTTTTGTAGCGAGAAAGCAGCCAGCTCCTGCGCTGCAGAAGTATTTAATCATCATTCGGGAATACAACTAAAACTCATCAAAACCCCCAGTCCCTAAATCAGGCAGCACCAATTTATCTCCACTGGCTGTTAACCTTAGAGCACCACTGTAGATGTGCCAAGATTAAGGGTGTGATTTGTCCCACTTACTGGGAAGTACACTGCTATAGAATGATCTTCAAACACCCCTACAAGCTTAGCACCATTAAGATAGGAGCTTTCTGAGAAAACTTCCTTCAGCTGCCTGTCCCGTATCTGGTCGTTACAGCAAGACAAAGACAGGAAGGTACCAAGAGGTGCACCCATATTGGCTCACCTGGGTGTAACAGTAAACTTTCGTGGCATCATTCTACAGAATGAAGGAAAACATTCCCACACCAAGTTACTAGTTTAAAGTATTAATTTAAAATTTTTACCTGAGCTACTTAAACCACACTGGCTTTGTGCTGAAATAATGCAGTCTATCAGTTAATTGGTGTATAGCCACAACCCTGAAGAGAGACAGTAATTATCATAGTTTGTAATCATAGTGTTAAAGGAAATGCTCAGCATCACGTGGTGTTTGCAGCAGTTTACGACAACGTAAACAGGGGAAACCCCAGTTCCCACTCCATCCTCAGTCACAAGTCTTCCCTTCCTGCTTCGTAGGAGTCAGTCATGCAACTGGGAAACCATCAAGTCAACAAAAAACCCCCTTGGACAGGTGACCAGCTTCTTTATGTGCTGATTTTTGTAAGGTGTGACTAGACATGACAGAAGTTTCAGGATTGTTTCTTGAACAGTTAATCTGTATCAGGAAAAAACTAACACTTTGAATTTGTTTCTCTGGAGACTTGAACTGAATTTAAGCTCAGTCTCCCATTCTGCAAGAGACACGCTATCCATTTCCTTACGTTTGGAGCTATGGCTGTCTCCAGGGATGTTGCATGGAATAACTTTGATATTACTTGACAAACTAGAATAATATAAAATGAGTCTCAAAAGTCCTCCCCACAAGCACTTCAGCAATTCTCACCAGGTCTACAAGGTATCTGGTGTCCCCTGTCTCTATATGTATCTAACGGACTTTTGAGTAGGAGATTAGAAGTTAAGGGTCTGAACAAGTTTTAGAAACATGCTGACAGAGCGCACCAGTCACAAGCCACCCCCCAGCCACACAGTTCTAGAACTGAGATGGACGATGGTATTTCTGGAATGGTAGTAAATTCAGAGAAATCAGGATGACAAAATATTCAATAATTAAAGTAGAACTCTACAAGCCCTGAAACTTGCTTTTTAAGTTTATAACCATTGTAAATTGGCATTATGCTTTATAGAAACTTGATATTACCGGTCAGCTTCTTATTTTTCTTTTTCTGTCAGGCTAATAAGCGTCTCGAGTATCAATACATCAAACTTTAAAAGTTGCTTCTTAGTCTGAGACAGCAATATAGATTGAGACATCTTAGAAAAACATATGTATTAAAAGGATGCTATGCAACAGAATTAAATTTGCTGTACTTGGTTTTAATGACTTTGCTGTAAGAACATGGGAGTTAATTTGGCCCTGGGGAAGTCATTAAGAGGCTTTTTCAAAAGAGCATGGAACTTGGAGTAAGGGTTAATATAAGCAGTTTCTTCTACTTTAGATTATTTGCTAAACAGGCTTAGTTAACAACACTATTCTCCACACAGATATTGATTTTTTGTGTGTGTGCATGATATATATATATACATATGTAGTAATGACTGCAGCTGTACTGAAACTACATTTATTTTTTAATTTATTAAAACTGCATCCGCATCGGGTCATTTTTATATAGACCTAAATGAAGCTCCATAGAAAACCAAAACCAATATTCTTCAAAAGCTCTTTGACCAGTTACTTCATCGATGAGTTTAGAAACTAGAGAAAACTGTCAGCTCCTAAAGCCTAATTTCACAGTACTTACCGATAGACTTAAGAGATTACACTGTAAACCATGTAGCTGACAAAGTGGATACAGGAACTGAGCAATAAATATTTGAACTGCATTGATACTAAAGAGCTACGGAACAGGCACAAGTAGTTTGTGTTAGTTTAGTTTTTCAAGGAACCATTGCAATCACTGTTTTAAGGAAAAGGTGGCTCACTTTAATAACCACAGGCATTGGTCACTATTTAACAAGACATTCTAAAAAAGTAATCACAATTTGTCCAATAGTAGTTTACAAGTGGATGGTATACATTAAGATACAGAGGTAGAAGTTCATTTTTACAATGCTTCACTAATACAGATTACCAAATTATTCAAGGCACAAAATTGTTCGCTTTACAAAAAAATACTGTAAAAACGTCATTTGCTGTTCTACAATGTGAGTACAACTCAAGAAAAAAAAATCTTTACACCCTTCCATATTCTGCATGTAGAGTTGCATCAGGCATTATTCTATTTTTCCTTTACTAATAATTGGCATATGACCAGCACTTACATAAACAGTTTGTATCTCAGCTGAGTTGCTTTGTCTTTTAGGCACAAGTCCAGTTACAGAAATTTAATACAACAGCTTCCTCAGGGGGTGGGAGAACTCTGTCGGAAGTAAGAATGAGGAGGAAGAAAAGAAACATACAGTCCATAACATTAGATTGGACTCTGACATATAGAAGGAAACAGAACAGAGCATATTTCAAGTCAAGTGACTTGAAAAAAGTCAGTTTATATCACTGACTGCATTCCTAGAAAACCAGATGCCCAGTACAAGTTTGCTCTGAGAGTGTTTGAGACATTCGCTCGCCTTTGAATTGGCAGAGATTTACAAATTTCTTTTTATCTTTGTTTAAATAGAACACACACAATTGCTACAAAAGAGAATTACACCACAATTTGGCCATGTGTCCTTTAGAGAGCTTGGGTGAACAAGTGAAGAGATGCATACAGAAACTGTCCTTAAATTTGCTAAAACGTCATGAGCAGTAGCTTAAATCTCAAGATTTCCCTCCCTCCCCCTTCCCAAAT